TTAACCAAAGCTGTTTCCCAATCGTTAGCTGAGGGACGCTTGGCAGGATCATGTAACCCCTCGACAAAGCTTTTCATAAATAATTCAGACAAATACGGTCCAGTCACTGTAAATGGTACTTTTACAGGATCACCCCACGGCTGCTGACTGACTTTAAGTTGAGTTGGTTTCACCTGATTACTATGATCTGTTGGGTGTTCAATAAACAGCGCTTTTTCACCCATTCCCAGCGTTTCATCCTTTTGCGGATCATTCATATCATGAATTTTTCCACCACGTAACGGATGTCGATAGAGCAAATACATATAAATCAATACCGCCAAAGCATGTTTATCTGTCGCAATACTGGGTAAATAACGATCAGGATTGTCTTTGGATAAATGACTAGTGCGTACCACTTCTGGCGCAATAAAATCAGGAGTACCGACAACGTCCGGTGGGTATTTTCCAGGTACCACCAAACCATCAACGTCGATAACGCTGGCACTCCCAGAAACAGGATCGACCAAAATATTTTTATAAGATAAATCTGAATGGGCCAAACCTGCAGCATGCATACGGCGTACTGCGCGGGAAATTAGAATTCCTATTTTAAGGTAATTTAGCCAAGTACCTTTTTCTTTATCGTCGAGAAATCTGTTTTGGTTGTTTGCACTTGCAAACCATTTCCCTTCTTTTTCTTTGCCTTTGATTTGCAGAAAATCATTATTTTTTGAACCATATTCAAAGAAAAATTGTTTTCTATAGGTTGGGGCAGTAATTCCAAGCAAATTATTATATTCAACTAAACCATCGGGCCAACAGAAAATATTTTTCCAATAATCCCCACCAATCCCATTAAAAATACTTTGCCATTTATTGCCTACAATTTCTTTTAAACGATCTTTTTGCTGCTCAAAGGTGGCTTTAGATTCATAAAATTTATTCTTTTCTTTACTGAAAAAGCACACCACATAACTACGATCAGGTGAAAAATATACATCTTTCATTGCACCTGAACCGATAATCTCATCTACAAATTCTATTTCACGTCCATCAACGGTGGTACATTTAATAATTTTTGCTGACATACTTGCCACCTTACACTATATTCTTCAAATACTTAGATATTGTTTATACAGATGTTGTTGAATGCTTATTCCATAATACGGCCATGGTACGATCATCATGATGCCCAGCTGTGAAGAAATGCATCCATTCCAACAATGCAGCATCAGCTGCTTCATTCTGTAGCAACGGATCCAGTTCACGGTATAAACTTTGCCATTTGTCAAAATTGGATAAGCCAGAATCTGTTTCAAATTTTGGATCTGAAATACCATCTGTCATCAACATAATCGCATGGGTATCTTTAAAGCAGCCTATTTTTAAACGGTTTGGAAATTCTGTTGCAATACTCAGATCTAGAAACTTAGTCTGTCCTGCATATTCACCACCATCTGGAATATTCATCATACGCACATTGTCCTCGCTATATACTGCGATTGCACCGTCTCCCACTGAGAATGCACTGATAAAGGTTTTGTCAGCTAATTTACATACGACCGCAACCAGCAATGTGGTTGAAAAATCTTTAGTATTTGCCCCAATCTGCTCTGCTTGTAATTTGATTTGGTTAATAATCGATTTATAAATTTCATAATATACATGATGAAACTGCTCATTTAACTTTTTGGCAACTGCAACAGTTTCATCATCCTGACTGCCCACTTGCCACTTTTCTAAATCAGCAATCAGGCTTTCAACCGTTTGTGGGGTCAAATAGTTTTTAAACTCATTTTCAACAATCTCTACCGCAATTCGAGAGCCTTCTCTGGAGTATTGCGCACTGCCTGCACCATCTGCCACAGTCAAGACCGACCAAGGTGTATTGTCGATTAAGGTAATGGAAAAATCGTCATCTCTAAATAAACCCGCGTGTTCATGTGAACGGCCACGACGACTTGCAGCGATAATTTTATAGTCCGCGACATCAATCAAAGCTTGATCCAAATGTGGCTTGCTAAATTTTTGCCCAGACTCAGGTTCAATGACTTTCCATAAACTGCGTGGGTCTGCAATGACATTCAACCGACATTGGGCAGAGCGTGTTTCTCCATCAGCGATAAACTGAAAAGAAAATTCGATTGAATCTGCTAGTTGTGGTTCACCATGAATACGTTGTGTGGCTTCATCGAAATAAAAGCTGGTATCTGGAAATTTAAAGCTTTCAGATTTGAATGTTAATTGATTGACATCATGTTGAGAAATCACTGAAATTTGAGATTGATAGTGTTGTCCAACTCGGGCATTTTCAACCTGAAATTTAATGTCTTCATATTTACTTCGTCTAAACACAGATTCGATCTCTAATCTATTCTTCTCAGTTTCAAAAGATATTATTTCAGGGGTTGAGTTTATATTTTCAGAATCAATTGTCGGCTTGTTTTCTAAATTGGGTTCAATTGTAGGGGCTGATGCTTGCTCGACTTGATCTGCAACAACTTGCTGTTCAACTTGTAGGATCGGTGCCAATTGCAATGTTGTGTGAAGATCTAAAGTGATATTTTGCGTTTCGGAAATTGCTCCAACTGAGTTGGTGTTTTCAGATGATGTATGGAGTTGATCCACATTGACTAAAGGATCATCACAATTTTGTTGAATATTTTCATCAAGCTTGACTTGGTCATCAACTCTAGCGTGTTGATTGGTTTCTGTTTGCTGATTAAGACCGACTGGCTCTTGAACATTCTTATGTACAGTAGCTTGAGTTGTATCCAGGCTTATAATTTCATGCTGAGACTGTGCAGCAGATGCGTTATCCAATAAATCAGCTTCATCGATATTGTTCAAACGCGGTGCAGCTATCTTCACTTTTTCCAATTCATTGATGAGTTTTGAAAGTTGTTTGAGATTTTGCGGATCACTTAATAGAAATTGTGAAAATGCCTCACTGAAATCAGCGGAATTATGTTCCAAAATCTGCTTTAATTTGCATACATCACTGTCCATTTTACCCTCTACTCATTTTTCTATTCTATTCGCTTGGCCACTTGGTCACTCACCAATCACGATGCACTTAAGCATTAAGCGATATAGATTTTTAATATTGTTCAATGCAGCAATGCTTTAATAATGTATCAACACATCAACCGATAAAGCCTAACCTTGCCCACGGGTTAAATCAAAATCTCCATCACCAGACGAGAAACTGATTTGTCGACGACACCACGGGCAAACCACAGATTCCCGATAGCCGTCATAACACATCAAATTACCGCATCCACATACTGCAAAAGCGGTCTCAGAAAAACAATGTGGACATTCAGGGAAACCATCGAGTTCAGCCGTATTGATCTGCTTATTTGATGCATTATGATCTGACCAAGTAAAATACTCCTCAGATATCGCACTACAGGTATCTAACTTAAAATTATAGATATTGATATTTAAATCAGCTGGACCTTTATATTGTAAATTACGTATATATTTGATGATATAAGGTTTATTCATCTTTTGGCAGCGACCCACAAATATCGCACAATGATCATCGGCTTTATTTTTTTGCAGGGATAATGCATCTTTTGCCAAGCGCATATAACGCTCATCAATCGGCAACAGCTCATCTTTTTGTTGATGGCTACCAATACTGATACTTTGTGAGACCACAGAGGCTGTGATCCACTTACACAAACCTTTGACATATTCTTGATTGATCTGATCAATTGAAATGGTATTTTCAGTGATTTTACTTAGCACAGAAAAATCAACATCTGCACCTAGTCCGATGGCGACGACTGTTGCTTTATGCGCATATTTGGCATTCCAGCGTTGAATTGCCTGATCATATTCATCGGTTGGGCGTCCATCGGTAAATATATAGACCATTGGCTTCCAGTCGCCTTTGACTTCACTGGTGGTTTTCATCACATAACGATCAATTTCCTGACCCAAATGATCTAAAGCTTTACCCAAATGTGTCCCACCACCCAAGGGCAAATTAAAATGATTAAAGGCAAATAACTCAGTTAAAGGGACCAATGTTCTGACAATACCTGCATATGCAATCACTGAAACATATACAGTTTCAAGTGCATAAGGATCTTTTCTTAAACTGCTTAAAATAAATTCCACACCCTCTTGAACTGATTCAAGTGGTTGCCCGACCATTGATTCAGAACAATCAAGAACAAAAAATACCGGTAAACGGCGCATAACTTCACCTACATTATTTTTATCATATTATTCAAACACCTAAATCAAACAGATAAGTGCTGATCTGTTTGATTTAGCTTTTTTATCATCACGTAATATTCAGTTATAAAACTAGCTGAATTTCGGCGGGTGGTGGTGGTAAAGAAATTGAATCGGATACTCCTGCACTACTGCTACCAGCGACCACACTTGCAGAAACCCACTTAAAGAAGCTGGCAAAACTATTTGAGTCCATGGTGTCTAACACAACCACTTGATCCGTAAGTTGTAGCAAGGATTCAGTTTTCGCTTTTGGCCCCGCAGCACAAGCGACAATCGTGGCAAAGTTAAGCTGTTTAATTGTGGGAACGATTTGCTGATAAGCATAGACATCTGAGGGTGAACCATCTGTCATCAAGAACAATAACGGGCGCCAATCGCCTTTAACATCATTGCTACTTTTCTGTACATTCTGGTGTACTTCCTGTGCCAGTAATTCCAATGCTGCACCCATAAATGTTGCTCCCACATTGGGTACATCTAGATCTGGAATTTGAACTTGATCTAAAGGGGTAAGCGGTAAATAAACTTTTGCTTCAATATCAAAAGTGATCACACTTAAATACACGCTTTCAAGCGCATAAGGATCTTGCCTTAATGCACTGAGCATCGACTGCAAGCCCACATTCACCGAGTGAATTGGCTCTCCACGCATAGAGCCAGATGTATCTAACAAAATATATACAGGTAAACGGCGCATTATATTCTCATTTTTTAACTATATTTTTTTAACCATTCCACGAAATTATCCGCGGGTGATGCATTACCAACCGCATTAAATTTCCAACCACTATTTTCTCTGACCAGTTCAGCAAATAATAATGAACGTTGTTGATCATATTGACCGATACCTGATAAATCAAAACGTACCATTTCTTTACCAGTACCATCGATAGCACGAATAAAGGCATTTTTCACCTGACCAAAATGCTGATTATTTTTTGCACCATTATAAATTTGCACAATAAAAACAATCTTGTGATATTCAGCTGCCAAGCTATTTAATTTGACAATAATTTGCTCATCATCCCCGTCACCAGCACCCGTACGGTTATCTCCAGTCAGCCAGATTTGCCCTGAACGATGCTTTAAATTATTAAAAAAGATAACATCACTATTTTCGAGTGTGGCTTGACCTGCGGCATTCCAGCCCAGATCTTTTACTTTTCCACTGGCATCACATAAAAATGCCACCACATCTAGATCGTGTTCTTCGCTCTTTGCACCTGAAAATAATCCGCCTAAAAAGCCTTTCTTTTGCTCAGTGATATCCCAACCGAGTCCAATCGTCACTCGTTCTAAATCATGTTTAGATTTTTCAAGGCTGAGTCCTTGACCTTTCGCCAATGTAATTGCCATGCTAGTTTCCTTTATTTTTATAGAACCACATTTACTTCAGGTGGTGGTGGTGGAAGATCATTTAAGCCTGTGACTTCTTTTTGACCTGCATCTACTTTTTGGCTACCTGTAGAAATACTTGCAGAAACCCATTTAAAGAAGGCTTTAATGGTGTTTGAATCTGCAGTTGCAAGTTCTACCACAACTTCTGTAATTTGTTTGAGAATACTGCTATCTGCATTATGTCCCGCTGCACAAGCAATAATCATCCCCGTCTTGGCTTGTTTTAGTTTTGCAAAACCTTTAGTCCAATCATCCGTTGGTGCACCATCTGTCATAATAAAAACTAAGGGTTTCCAGTCACCACGGGTGTCTGGTGTGGTTTTTTGCACTTCCTGATCAATTTTATCTGCCAGTAATCCAAGTGCTTCGCCCAACTGTGTAGTCCCCGTTGCCTGTAATTGAGGGGGTTGAAACATCGCAATTTCAGTTAAGGGAATCAGTTGTTTAGCTTGAGTATCAAAAGTAATAATAGATAAATAGGCTGTTTCAAGCGCATAAGGATCTTGTCTGAGTGAAGAAACCAGTATTTCAACACCATTTTTAACGGCTTCAATCGGTTCACCATGCATCGAACCTGAGGTATCTAATAATAAATATACGGGTAATCTTCTCATTTGTTTATCTCTGTTGAATGTCTCGTTAATTTTTAATCTTTATGCATATGTTTATATAAAAAATTGAACTAAAAACAAAGCTTTTTTATCATTTTTAATACCTAATTTTTTATCCAAATATCAAATTTTGCTTAAATCCGCTGTTTTTTAATTGAGCTTATCCTGACATATTATTTGTTTTATGCTGGGTGATATTTTAAAAATAATCGCAGAATTCTAAGCTATAATTGTTTCATTACTTACCTTAATCTGAATCCTCAGATTTTAAAGCCCAATATGTCAAAGAATCTCGCAACCCTGATTGGTTTAAGTGCCATTTTACAATGGTCTTCCATTGTCGGTTTATTGAAAAAAATTAGTTTTAGTTTGGGCGCTGAGTTGGCTGTGCTGCTGATGTATACACTGAGCACGTGTATTTTATTAATATTTTTTAAAATCCCAAATTTAAAATTAATTTCAAAAAAATATCTGATTTTTTCTACCTTATTGTTTGTTATTTATGAATTATGTTTTTCTTATGCCATTGCAGTGGCACAAACCGCCCAACAAGCCATAGAAGTCAGTCTGGTCAATTACCTCTGGCCGGGCTTAACTGTTGCGATGCTGATCCTCTTTAAAGAAATTAAATTTAATGTCTTTGTTATTGTCGGTTTAGTCATCAGCTTAAGTGGGATTATTTTGATTCAAACCGGGCAAGGTGCTTTAACTTGGTCTAATATTTTATCCAATATTCTTGAAAATCCAATCAGTTATATTTTGGCATTTGTTGGGGCAACGCTGTGGTCCTTATATTGTGTCATTACCAAAAAATATAGTGATGGGCATAATCCAATTTCATTTTTCTTTGTGGCGATCAGTATAGTACTGTGGACTAAATACCTGTGGTCACATGGATTGAGTCTAAATGCAATTCCAGAAGTTGAACTTACAACAATAGGATTATTAGGCATTGTTTCAGTGGTGATGGCTTTGGGTTATGCCGCTTGGAATATTGGCATTATCAAAGGCAATATTACGATTTTGGTGACTTTATCTTATTTTAGTCCAGTCATCTCTACTTTGATTTCAATGTTTATCTTACAAACCAATCTACCAACAGAGTTTTGGTATGGCGTGATCTTGGTGACTTCAGGCTCTTTGGTGTGTTGGATTTCGACAAATTGGCAACAATTAAAAGATAAACTATTCAGTGTGTTAAATTAAATGCTTGCCGATCAGCAAGCATTTTAAATAAATACCATCCAAGCAATCATTCAACAGCTTAAGCTGCATTTAATCCATATTGAAGGATCAACTCAGTAAATGGCCCCGCTACTTTTGATTCAGTTAAGGGGCCATAAATTACTTAATTTGTTTACTTAGATTTATCTGTAAGTTTAACCAGACAAATAACCTTCACGTTTAAGATCCGCCGTGGTACTCAGAATCGCTTTACGTAATGTTGTCACGATAAAGTCTACATGTTGTTTATTTAAAATTAAGGGTGGCGACATGATATTCATATGGCCAACTGGACGAATGATTAACCCATCTTTCTGGCAATAATCTGCAATTCGAGAACCTACCTTGACTGAACTTGGGAAAAGTTCCTTGGTTTTCTTATTGGCTAAGTTTTCAATACACATCATAAATTTCTTACCACGAACCTCCCCGACAATGTCTAAGTCAACCAATGTGTGTAATTGATCTTCAAAATATTGACCTACATCATTGACATGTTGCAGTAAATTTTCACGCTCGATAATTTCAATATTTTTTAGTGCCGCTGCACAAGAAACAGGATGACCTGAATAGGTAAATCCATGGGTAAATAACGCACCATCCGCCTGAGGCTTACCAATCACTTTTGCGATATCATCAGATATAATCGTTGCACCTAAGGGTAAGTAACCTGAAGATAAGCCTTTGGCACAAGTAATAATATCTGGAACGATATCAAACTCTGATTCTGAAGCAAAAAAGTGCCCTAAGCGCCCAAACGCAGTCACAACTTCATCAGACACATATAAAACCCCATATTTATGACATACTTCAAGGGCTTTTTTATGATATCCCGGCGGAGGTACGATAACACCGCCAGCACCCATGATCGGTTCTGCAAAAAACGCAGCGACATTTTCTGGACCCAATTCCAAAATTTTATTTTCTAACTCTTGTACCTTTTCATTGCAGAACGCTTCTAAGCTTTGACCTTCCGCTCTACGGTATGGATTTGGGCATGAAATCTGGTGGACCAATTCACGATCAATATCAAAACCGATATGATCAAACTCAACCCCTGTTAATGACATACTGATATAGGTACTGCCATGATAACCATCTTTGCGCGAGATTAATTTTTTCTTGCTTGGTTGACCAAGTTGATTGAAATAAAAGTGAATGAGTCGTACCGCAGTATCATTGGCAACTGAACCTCCGCAACCAAACAGTACATGATTCAAATTTCCAGGCGCTAATTCAGCCAGTTTTGCAGATAATTTTGCAGCGGGGATCGAAGTATGGTGACCAAATGCAGAATAATAAGGAATTTGCATAATTTGTTCTGAAATAGCATCAGCAATTTCTTGCCGCCCATAACCGACATTGACGCACCATAAACCACCAATACCATCCAAATATTTATTGCCTTCAGCATCAAAAACATAACACCCTTCACCGTGTGCAAGAATCATGGCGCCTTCATCTTTAAAGGTTGCAAAGTCAGTCCATGGATGAATATGGTGATCTTTATCTTTTTTCCAAACTTCTGTAATTTCTGTTGTTGATAACTGCTTCATAAGATAACTCCTTGTTAAAATTCTGCTTTTATTTGGTCAAACTTTCGATGGATTCTGGTTGAAAGAGTTGTCTTTTCATCACCAATTTGATCCAAAGAATACTGATGATTGTGGTAAAACCAATCACAACTCCGACCCAGGTAAATATTTTGACTCTCAAATCTGGGGTAGGCACAGCATAGAAAATCGTAAGTACCATCCCGATAATGCCAATGATTTGTAAGAATGGATAAAATGGTGCTTTATAAGGTCTTGTCATCTGTGGGTAGCGTTTACGCAACACAATCACGTTGATATGTGCAATCACATAAGCGATCAACCAAGAGATACAGGCTGCTGTTAACAGAACCTTTATCACTTCGGTTTCACTCTGTGAGAACAGCATTGGTATCATGATGATGACAGCAACAAATACAACGCCCACCCAAGGCACATTATTCTTCTGATTGACTCGGGCAAAAATTGATAACACTTGCTTATTGCTCGCCATGCCCTGCAACATACGCGGTAAGGCAGCTAAAGTCGCATTTAAGGTACTTAAGGTGGCAAATAGAGCACCAATCGCAATAAAGAGTAAGCCTGTGGGGCCAAATACCGCCGTTGCATATTCAATATGTGGGGTCAAAGAATTAACCAAGTGCTCTTGGGGTAAGAAATACAGTGCACCCACGCCATATAAAGAAATGGTGATAAAAATCGTGGTTAAACCGATATACATCGATCTTGGAATATTTTTACTGGGATTTCTGGATTCTTCGATCATCGGAACAACAAACTCGACGCCAACAAATCCCCAAAAAGCCAACGCAACCAGAGCCACAGTATTTGTATCAAAAGTAATTGTATAATCAACTACTTGAGTATGCGGATAAACCCAACCGCTGATCGCAAATATACCGAGTAAAAGTAATAACACCACCATGACAAAAGCCACGGTATTTTGAACTTTGGAGAAGATATCAATTTTCAGCAGATTTAAACCGACTGAAATAAATAAAATCAGAAAACCTATACCAAAATAGGGAACATCCAGCTTAAATATTTTTTTGATCACATCATCGATTAAAATCAGTTCTGCTGAAACAGCAAACATTGCCACCAAAATATAACCACAAAATACCGAAAGCATCGCGGGTAAATGCCCTGTTGCGACTAGACTATAATCACTGATACTGCCACTTTTAGGGATTAATAATGCCAACTCTGCAAAAGAGGTCGCATAGCTCAGCGCTAAAAAGAATCCGATAATCAGCGGAATAAAGAAACTTATTCCGCTTAAGCCAAATCCTTGCAAAATAATCACCATCACACCTTGTGATAGCACTAAACCTACTGCAATGGCGATCAAGTTAAACAAAGTTAACTTTTTTGCATTCACCTGTTTTGCCTGATCGATTAAACGACTTCCTTGCTTATTGTTTTTTCCTGTCATGTGCTCCTCCCTCCTAGAGTGGGCATTAAACCTTGAAATTTAAAACTTATTTCATGCAGTTTTTTCTTCTTTATTGATTAAATTTCTTTGAGTTTTATCTTGATACTTTAAATACTGACGTTGAATATCAATGTG